AACCTTGCCCTTTGAATTATCTCCAAATGTTATTTTCTCTTGTCCATCTACCTCTTCATCTAGTGAGGTGAACATACGAGGATCACCGGTCATATGTTGAGTGCAACCACTATCAATAACCCAATGACTTCCACCGGTCTTGTAGTTCACCTACACACAAGAGATTCAAGCTTTAGGGATCCAAGCTTGTTGAGGGCCCTTCACCTTCTCAACAAGTGACTTAGCCACCCAAATTTTCTTAGGCCTACTCTTGTTGGGAGGACCTAAGAACATGACTTTCATCTTTCCACTCGAATCTTTTCTAAGCATGTAGTGAGCATTGAAAGCAAAGGGTCTAGCATGCTTGGGCAAGGGTTGTGGTGGTGGAGTTTGACACTCATGAGCAAAGTGGCCTTCTTGTCCACATTCAAAACATCTCTTTGGCTTTGGCTTTGGCTTTGATTGTTGGTGTTGAGCTTGAGCCTTCTTCTTCTCTACACTTGCCATATATCCAATGCCACTTCTATCCATCTTCATGACGGTATTCATGAGTAGCTCACTTTGGAGATTCTTGCCTCTAGCAAACTTGCTCAATCCCACCTTGAGATGCTCTTTCTCCATCTTGAGCTTCTTGTTCTCTTCCTTGAGAAGATCATTGTTCTTCTCCTCCTTGAGTTTCTTGATTTCTTCTTTTAACTTCTCATTCTCAAGGATCACCTCTTCGTCATGATCAAGAGTTTCTAGCACAATGGTGTTGTGTCTTTTCATCTCTTCAAGATCTTTCATGAGCTTCTCATTGTTACTCTTGAGCTTGACATACTCATCATAGTCATTGCACTCAACCACTTGCTTGCCCTTGCTACTAGATTCATGCTCAATGCTTTCATCAATTAAGTCATCACATGAGGTAGCTATATCAATCTTAACAACATGGTTAGTAGCATCATGTGGCTCATTTGGTAAGAATTCTTGTGCCATAATAAGGGTATCATAATTGATCTTTAGAGTTGCATATTCATCTTTTAGCTTATTGTGACTAGTGATAAGCTCATTGTGCACCCACTCAAGTTTATCATTTTTATCTTTAAGCTCTTTCTTAGAAGATTTGAGCTCCTTGAGTTTGGATGATATAGAATCATTTGTTTCTTTGAGCTCATCATTAGCCTTTTCTAATGTATCACACTTAGCTAAGAGTGAATCATTTTTAGCATCAAGTTTTTCATTTGTAGCTCTACTCTTTCTAATGATCTTAGTATATTTTCTTAGTATTTTGACAAGATCATCATAAGTAGGTGAGTCATCATCATCGCTATCACTATCATCATCACTAGCATGTTCATCATCACTACTATCATCACTCTTAGTTACCTTTATGTTCGCCTTTGGCCATAAGGCATAGGTGTGTAGATGATGATGGCGATGGTGGTGGTGAAGATGCAAGATCAATAGCAATGGCGGCCACCTTTTCATCGTCACTATCATCATAGGATGATCCACTTGATGAATCAATGTCCGTGAGCCAATCACCGACAATATAGGCCTTGCCACTCTTCTTCTTCTTGTAGAACTCCCTCTTTTTTGCCATCTCTCTTCTTGTATGGCTTGTTCTTCTTCTTTTCATCTTCATCACTTGAATCATCTTTCTTGCCCTTGTTCTTGAACTTGTCTTTCTTAGGCTTTGTGCATTGATGAGCTAGATGACCAAGTTCGCCACAATTGTAACAATCCATCTCGGAGATTGGCTTTCTTCTTGAGCTAGTGAAGAACTTCTTCTTCTTACCGTCGAACTTGATGCCACTCTTGTTTAGCCTTTTTAGCATCTTGGTGGTCTTCTTCACCATGAGGGCAAGGCTTTCTTCATCATCTTCATCACTTGAGCTCTCATACTCAAGTCTTGTTTTGCCCTTGTCTTGGCTAGCTTTGAATGCTAAGTCCTTCTCTTTCTTCTTTGTAAAGGATGAGCCATCTTGTGGTGTGATGTGCATGTACATCTCATGAGCATTGATCTTTCCCAAGATTTGTGTTGGTGTAGCGGCGGAAAGATCACCTTGATGTAGCACGGTCACAATGTGCCCATATTTGTCAATGGGGAGGACACTCAAGATTTTTCTCACAACGTCGGATGGTGACATTTGAGTGAGTCCAAGCCCATTGACTTCCTCTACAAGAACATTTAATCGAGAATACATCTCATTAGCACTTTCTTTGGGAAACATCTCAAAAGAATTTAGCTTTTTAATCACAAGATGATAGCGTTCCTCACGCTCACTCTTGGTTCCCTCATGGAGCGCACAAACGTCCGACCATAGTGCATGGGCGTCTTTGTGGTTCCTTACACGATTGAACACATCTTTGCAAAGGCCTCTAAAGATGGTGTTGCGAGCCTTTGCATTCCATTTTTCATAATTCACTTCATCGCCTTGAAGTTGTGCGGCATTCCTAGGTGCCGGGAACCCTTGAGAGGCGGCTCTAAGAATTCCAACATCTAGAGCTTCTAAGTAAGCCTCCATGCGAATTTTCCAATATGGAAAATCATCTCCCTCAAAGATAGGAGGAGGTCCATCCCCATGAGACATCTTGCTCTAAGCGATTAAGCTTAAAAACGTGAGCACGAGGCTCTGATACCAATTGAAAGGATCAAGATGCCCAAGAGGGGGGGTGAATTGGGCTAATTCTAAATTTTCTTGCAATAATCAAATCCTACGGATAGCCCAATTAACCCCTTGTGCCTAAAAAGTGTTTATATCAAACTAATGCACAACAACCTCGCAATCAACGTTCCAAACTTACTCTAGCAAGCAATTCTATGGATGTAAGACAAGTATTGAAATGCTCAAAGTAAATACTCAAAGTAAGTGCTCAACGTAAATAGAGAGAGAAAGGAACGCGGCGATGTTTTGCCGAGGTATCGGAGAGTCGCCACTCCCCACTAGTCCTCGTTGGAGCACCCGCGCAAGGGTGTAGCTCCCCCTTGATCCGCGCAAGGATCAAGTGCTCTCTATGGGTTGATTCTTCGACACTCCGTCACCGCGAAATCACCCAAAACCGCTCACAACTTGAGTTGGGTCACCCACAAGCTCAGTAGGGTGAACACCAAACTCCCAATCACCACCAAGCCGTCTAGGTGATGGCGATCACCAAGAGTAACAAGCACGAACTCTCACTTGACCACGCGAAGCCTAATGAGAAGATGGATGCACACTTTGCTACTCTTGATTTGCTAGTGAGGCTACTCTCTTGGATTCTCAAATCACAAACACCTCACTAGGACCTTGCTCTTCTTGGCACTCACAAACGTGTTTCTCAGCTGTTGGAATGAGCAAAAGATACTCCACTCACGAGTGGACCTTCTATTTATAAGCCAGCCTGAAAAACGAACCGTTATGAGCTTCTGCGGGACGACCGGACGCTCCGATCGTGATGACCGGACGCTCCGGTCAGTTCAACCCGCGAACCAGTATTAAAGAGACGACCGGACGCCGGCGGTCCGGACTGTCAGACTGGACGGACGCGTCCGTCGCATAAAACCTTTACTGGAACCTTACTGGAGTCGACCGGACGCTGAACCCTCAGGGTCCGGTCAGCACTGACCGGACGCGTCCGGTCACTCTTTCCCAAGTCTGGACCCTTACTGGAGTCGACCGGACGCTGGTCCTCAGCGTCCGGTCACATGACCTTCCAGCGTCCGGTCACACCAGACTTGATTACCTCAGTCAAATGAACTGACCGGACCCTGCGGCCAGCGTCCGGTCGCACCGGAGCCAGCGTCCGGTCAGTGTTTGACCCTTCATTCACTTCCAACTTCCGAATATATGTGAATGAATTGTGCTCCAAAAGATCTTAGGCATTCATAGGAGCTACCTAGAGCTAGTTCAAACAAGTGTGCACCACACCTAACTCACTAGACTTAACTAGGTCAAGCTACCCGTTCATACCCCCCTTCATAGTACGGCCAAAGGAAAAAACAAAGTCCTAAACTATTCTAAGTGTCTCTCCAACTTCAATTGACACTTAGAACTAGTTATCCTTAACCTTGTCGTCCATCCTTTGAAAACCGAAACGATTTTCATCGTAGGGGCATGACAACCTCAATTGCCCAATCGATCTCCATTACCATGACCTAACTTAATTGTCTCTGCAAAATACACGTTAGTCATAGTAATCTTGTATTGACATCAATCACCGAAATCCAACTAAGGGCCTAGATGCTTTCACTCTCCAAACATGCCATATGAGAGAAAAAAAAATCAACGAAGTATTTTATTTACCATCATATAGGTCCTGTTCGTTTAGCTAAAATTTAGGTTATGCTAATTTATTGTGAGAGAAAAAATATTGTTTATTCATTAAAAAGTACTGCTGAAATAGTACAGTAAAGATGGTCAATCCTTAAAAATCAATAACATATTATCTTCAACTGTCTCCACACCACTTTACACTGGTTAGTTACGCAGCAAAATGTCGACGTCGCCGCTTGAAACGAAAGCTGCCACTGTCGTGCTGAAATCAGCCTGTTCATTTGACTGTGGCTTGTCGTAAATGATCATAAATTTTCAGTCGAAACAATATTTTTCTCTCACAAAAACCAACCAGCAGTACTTCTTCACGAACCAGCAACGAAACGAACCAGCCAACCGAACAGAAGCCAGCTTTTGAATGTTCAATCGCATAGTGTGCGATTCACGTAGTGTGCGATGCAAACCATGGTCAATTCATTTGAATGTTCAATCGCATAGAAGCCATCTCTTAGCTGTAAAGTGGCAGGGGGGACCCACTTAGGAATTGTCCAAGGAATGTCGCTCTCCATATGGACTTTTCTTGAGCTCTAGTAGTAGCAAAGGTTGACTACAACTCTCTGTTAGAGACTGCCGTATAGTTCACCATCAATGCTCAGAAAGAAAACTTAAAACAATTTGATCTCCATAGCACTCTAAATTTGACCAGGAATGATGTTTGGCTCTCAGTCTCAGGATGGATATAAGTAGTTGTGCATTCATCGACCAAAAACCATCTCTGCAACGATGCCTCATTCTCTTGCAACTCTCCTTTCTACTGCTTCCATCCTCTCTTTCATTGCTCTATTCCCAAGAGTTGCATCCCGTGACACTCTATCACTGGGTTCCACTCTCAGAGTTGAATCCTACGAAACCAGCATCTTACAATCATCAGATGGGACCTTCTCCTCTGGCTTCTACGAAGTCTATACCCATGCCTTCACATTCTCAATTTGGTACTCAAAGGCAGCCAACAAGACCATTGTCTGGAGTGCAAACCCAGACCGTCCCGTCCACGCTAGGAGGTCGGCTATAACCTTGCACAAGGATGGCAACATGGTGCTTACGGATTATGATGGCGCAGTCATGTGGCAAGCTGATGGCAACTTCACGGATGTTCAGCATGCTCGGCTCTTGAACACTGGGAATCTCATCATTGAGGATTCAAGAGGTAATACTGTCTGGCAAAGTTTTGATTCAACAACAGACACTTTCCTACCAACACAGCTCATCACTGCTACAACCAAATTAGTCCCTACAACTCAATCGCATAGTCCTGGTAACTATATCTTCCGTTTCAGTGACCTTTCAGTACTATCACTTATATATGATGTGCCTGAAGTTTCAGACATATACTGGCCAGACCCTGATCAAACTCTCTACCAGGATGGTCGAAACCAGTATAACAGTACAAGGTTAGGAATCCTTGGTAATGATGGGGTGCTTGCATCGAGTGACTTTGCTGATGGTCAACAACTTGTGGCCTCTGATGCAGGATCAGACATTAAGAGAAGGCTGACTCTTGACCCCGATGGTAATCTCCGTCTCTATAGCCTGAATGATTCAGATGGATCATGGTCAGTTTCAATGGTAGCAATGTCTCAACCTTGCAATATTCATGGTTTATGTGGTCCTAATGGAATCTGCCATTACTCACCTAAACCAACATGTTCATGCCCACCAGGTTATGCGATGAGAAACCCAGGTAACTGGACTGAAGGATGTATGGCTATTGTCAACATAACCTGTGATGACTATGACAAAAATTCTATGAAATTTGTGAAACTTCGAAATACAGATTTTTGGGGGTCAGATCAGCAACATCTTCTGTCAGTTTCTCTTCAAACTTGTTGGAATATTTGCATCAGTGACTGCACCTGTAAAGGCTTTCAATATCAGGAAGGTACAGGATCATGCTATCCAAAAGCTTATCTTTTCAGTGGAAGAACCTACCCAACATCTGATGTACGAACAATATATCTCAAGCTTCCAACAAGGGTTAATGTTTCGAATGTCCCTATTCCACATTCCAATGTGTTTGATTCTGTGCCCCATCGCCTTGACTGTGATCAGATGAACAAAAGCATCAGAGAACCATTTCCAGATGTGCATAAGACCGGTGGAGGAGAATCAAAATGGTTTTACTTCTATGGGTTCATAGCTGCATTTTTTGTTGTTGAAGTTTCCTTTATTTCATTTGCATGGTTCTTTGTTTTGAGAAGAGAGCTTAGGCCATCAGAATTATGGGCAGCTGAGGAAGGTTACAAAGTAATGACTAGTAATTTTAGAAGATATAGTTACAGAGAACTTGTGAAGGCGACCAGAAAATTTGAAGTTGAGCTAGGAAGGGGAGCATCAGGCACTGTGTACAAAGGTGTCCTAGAAGATGATAGGCAAGTGGCTGTGAAGAGGCTGGAAAATGTAAGGGAAGGCAAGGAAGTGTTTCAAGCTGAGCTAAGTGTAATTGGGAGGATCAACCACATGAACCTTGTGAGGATATGGGGCATTTGTTCAGAAGGATCTCATAGGTTGTTGGTCTCTGAATATGTTGAGAATGGATCACTGGCTAACATTTTGTTCAACGAAAAAAGCAATATCTTATTGGACTGGAAGGGAAGGTTCAATATTGCATTAGGTGTTGCAAAAGGGTTAGCCTATCTTCACCATGAGTGCTTAGAGTGGGTCATCCATTGCGATGTGAAACCTGAGAACATACTGTTAGACCAAACTTTTGAGCCCAAGATCACTGACTTTGGGTTGGCAAAGTTACTAAACAGAGGAGGTTCCACCCAGAATGTATCCCATGTAAGAGGAACACTAGGTTACATTGCACCTGAGTGGGTTTCCAGTCTCCCGATCACAGCAAAAGTTGATGTATACAGTTATGGGGTTGTGCTTCTTGAACTATTGACAGGCACTAGAGTTTCAGGAGTTGGTGGAAGGTCCAGGTGAGGTGCACAATATGCTTAGAAAGCTTGTCAGGATGCTTTCTGCTAAACTTGAAGGGGAGGAACAATCGTGGATTGATGGGTTTGTGGATTCAAAATTGAATCGTCCAGTCAACTATCTCCAAGCAAGAACACTAATCAAATTGGCAGTTTCCTGCTTGGAGGAAGACAGAAGCAAAAGACCAACTATGGAATATGCAGTCCAGACCCTCCTGTCAGCTGATGACTGAATGGTCAAATAAAACATATGCTACACCAACTTCATTGAGTTGAAATTTACTTCTTGCTGGAGAAAAGAAGCAAAATACCAACACTCCAGGCCCTCCTATGAGTTGCTATGGCTGGTAAGAAGTACAGTTTTGGGTGATTACGATGTAAATTATCTGTAAGCAGTGTGCATTTCGTTTTGTCACTATATGATATGAGTTGTAGCATGTAATTGAACTTGTACAGTTAGATGTGAGAAATCATCTTCAAGTTACCGGTAGTGAAACAACAACTTTCGCCATGGACCTAGGTGTGCTTCCTTATCTGAAATTCTGAATACATCTTGTGTGTGGTCTCACGATTGTGAAAAAAACATGGAATCAGTAATAGATATGGATAATAATGTCCTTACCAACTAATAAGAAGAGTAGAAGACAAGGACGAATTAGTGATCTTCTCCTCATATTGCTGCTGCTACAAGGACGAATTAGGATCTCCTTCTCCTCGTATTGTTGCTGCTGCGACGGCGTCAACCGCTTGACGTGCCAAGCGCAAGGGTAAGGGTCTGACGACGTTGCAGGCTCGAAGCCGGCAATGCGCCTATCAGTGGCAGATACCGAGCGGGCGGCGGCGGTCACCCAGCGCTCTGCGTTCCCAGATACGGCCCCCTAGGCAGGTGGACCGCTGAGCCCGAGGCCGAGCCTCGAGATCTAGGTCACGGCGCTGGCACCGCAACCCGCTGCCGCCGCCATGTCACACTCGCCGCTCACCATCTCCAAAGTCCAAAGATAAAGACTGGGCGCACCGCGCCGCCCGGGAACAGCCTCGTTCACTCCGTCGAGCCACAGTGGTGGGTGCAGTGCTCTCGAGTGGAACGCAGTGTCCACGACGTCGGCGTGTGCGGGTAACGGCGTTCGGCGAGGAGAACCAGACTGCCCAGCATTCCACGGTCACGCGTGGCTGACAACGTTGGACCGGGCTGTCGGTGTACGAGACTGTTCTCCGTGCACTTCGTACGCTTAACCCGTCAGTCGCACGAGCTTAAATCAGTCTGAAAATACGTACATTTTTTCTCCAGAAAAAAAATGGATATGTCCTGAAATTTGGAGTACCAAAATATAAGCCAAATCTGACAAAATCAATACGAAGAAAGGGAAATAGGAAACAAACTTGAAGATAACGACAATAATTTGGCTTATGCTAATGTTTATGTTGATTTATCGTGAGAGATACTAAAAAATTGCTCCCTCCATTTCAAATTAGAAGTTTTTCTGACATTTTTCGGATACATTGCTTTTGTTACGCACCTATAGATATATAGGAATATATGGATAAATCTATCTATCAGTTAGAGCGACTTATAATTTAAAACAGAAGGAGTACCTGAGTAATTCATCCTCTTTTCTCTACCGTCACTCTTACAGATCTTTAAATACTAGTTTTAAAATGACACTTACAAAATTGTCACGTGAGAGAGAAGATGTTGCTATGTTCTTTCCACTTTTTATTGACGTAGTTCCCTAACTTCTTATGCCAGTGTGAAAAAAATGATCAAGGTACTCCTCTTCGCAGGATGAAAATTGATTGGATACGGACGGCTATCACTGATATTACATTTGTTTTCGTATTTCTGTTCGGATTCGGATTCGAATACGGATAGTATCAACCATGTGCCGGATAGAATACGATTGGATATCGACATCGTAAATATACGATTTGAGTATTCGGATATAGATACGGTATCGGATGTTAAATATCCGGATTGGGATACAGACATATTTGAACCCCTCTGTACGGATTCAGTCTCGAATACGGTCGGAAAATATCTGTACCATTTTCATCCCTACCTCTTCCATGTCTTCCTCCTTCCATTTTCTAAGTCTTATGGAGTCCATGCTCGTACTCCCTTTGTCTCTAAAATATCTATCGTTTTCGTTTTCCGAGAAACAATTTTGACTAAATATATATTAAAAATATTAATATTTATGAGTATCATTAGAAAGATCTTTGAATTTATTTTTTAATAATTTATTTAGAGATACAAATGTTGCACACATTTTTTATAAAGCGAGTCAAACTTGCGGCACGTACACCAACAACAACAGTTATTTAGGGGTGAAAGACGGAGGGAGTAGCATGTTGCCCCTTTGTTTTTGGCCCTCCCGACTATAGTTGGGCAACTGACGCACGCCACATTTTCTCACTCGGGCTTTAGGGTCTGTTTGGTTGACGACCAAAACTTGCCACACCTAACTTCGGGCAAAGTGTAGCTGCCATAGAAAGGATGGCGAGCAAAATCGAAGCCACACGTGTAGCAAGGTTTGGCATGAAAATGAGTCTGACTTATGGGGCAAGTGCTAAGAAAGTTTAGCGTGCCATAGCTGTGGCAGTGAACCAAACAGCTAAAAAAAAACTATGGCATGACTGACCTTTGATATCCTTAAGTCTCCCTTCCTCAGCTTCTAGGTGGTTTCATTCACGGTGCGCGTGTGGTGTTGCTCAACCCCATGGTTAACAACAATCTATGATTACTCCTTCGGCCAAGCAAACCCTCCTCGTCCTCGCATCCTGGTGATGTTTCCCATGCCTTTGATGGAGCTAGCCATGGCCGATTTGTGGCTTCCCCAGAGTTCCTACCATGCACCGTGGCCATACGTGTCACCGCTAGCGGCTCCGCTGGAGTTGGTTCATCGAGCCACGGCAGACACACCGAACAGGCCCATAGCCTCGGTCCTTTGTGCGTACACACAACCGAGCAAAGCGATGTACGAGCGCGTGGCCAGCGATGCCCTACTATGCTAAGGAGCAACGATGATAACGTGGTGCCCCGCACTTGTGCGGCTGAATTGGCCGATGGCACCATAGATGGGTGGCACGGCTCAATACAGGCGACAGTTGCAAGCCCATTGTCCTATCGTCGGAGAACGAGCTTGTGTAAGGAAACAGGAGGAAGAAAGGAAGGACCAAAGGAGGGAGAAAATATCATTTTCCATGAGACTTTGTCTTTGATATGCCGGCAATGCTAAAGCCTATACTATTTGTGTGCTTTATAGCTCACGTAAAATATATATAATGTTTAAATATATCAATTCTTGGTCTAGAGATTCTGCTTTGAAAATAAATCTTGTGTTTCTTACTTTGTTTTGGGGGACATATTGGTATTTCTCTATTCTCTAGCTTCTCGGAGCTACCACCGTCCACTCCAAGCCAAAGAGCATATCAAGAAGTCTTTCTAAAATTACTCTCTAAAATATCGTTTAGAGATTTGTTTGAGTAAAAGTTATGTTTTATATTTTGTACTCTCCAATATTTTTTTATATAATGCCTTCTAGAGTCATCACTGCTCTTCAATTTTTGGTAGCGAGAAATTCAGAATAGAGAAGGTCTATATTTAAATATGTTTTTTTATCAAAATCTCTATTTTTAGAATGATATTAAGGCCTTGTTTAGATTGTAAATTTTTGTAATCTGGACACAGTAGCACGTTTCGTTTGTATTTGACAAACTTTGTCCGATCATGGACTAACTAGGCTCAAAAGATTCGTCTCGTGATTTACAACAAAACTATGTAATTAGTTATTTTTTTACCTACATTTAATGCTCCATGCATGCGTCTAAAATTTGATTTGATGAAGATAAGACAATCTAAACAAGGCGGTTGCTCTGATCTCAATCTCGATCGACCACTCACAGCCATCAATCACCTTTTTTTTTTTTGACAGCATCAATCACCCTTTTTGTCCGTGTAGCGGCGACTCACCGAAGACGCAGAGACGCGCGCGCACGTCCTGACCCGCGTCACCCGCCCCTCGGCCCCTGTCACTTTCGAGCGAGCGCGCGTGTGTGTCAGTGACCATCCTCCCACCCTGCTCTCCTCGGTCCCCCACCAAGAACCCCAAGATTCGCTCGACCGGCCGGCCGCCATGGCCAGATCGGCGCCGGGGCTGCCGCCGCAGTACTACGCGGCCGCGGGCTCCGGCCACCGCTCCTCCTCCTCTCCCGCGGCGTCCTGCGTCGTGGCGGTCCTCTTCCTCCTCCTGGCCGCCGGTGGCGCGGCGGCGGCGCTGTTCGTGCTCTTCCGCCCGCGCGCGCCGGCCATCGCCGTGACGGCCGTGCAGCTGCCCGCCTTCGCCGTGGCCAACGGCACCGTGGCCTTCACCTTCCAGCAGCTGACCTCCGTGCGCAACCCGAACCGGTCCCCGCTCGCGCACTACGACAGCTCCCTCCACGTCGCGTACGCCGGCGGCGAGGTCGGCTCCATGTACATCCCGGCCGGCCAGATTGACGGCGGCCGCACGCAGTACATGGCCACCAGCTTCACCGTCCCCGCCTTCGCCGTCTCGGTCTCCGCCGCCGCCGCGCAGCCGACCACCATCTCCGTCCCCGCGTCCGGCCCGTCCCCGCACGTCATGGCGGCTCTAGTGCAGGGGCCGGTGATGGAGGTGGACTCACTGCTGCGGGTCAAGGGCAAGGTCACCGTTCTTAAGGTGTTCACCCACCACGTCGAGGCCGCCAAGGTGTGCCGCATTGGCGTCTCGCCGGCCGACGGCCGCGTGCTCGGCTTCCGGTGCTGACCGTCGGCCGATCTCACTAATGCTGGCCGCCCCCGCCCGGCCAAGATCTGACAATCTCATCACCCCTTCAGCCTGGTCGGTAGGCCCTGCTCTCCAAATCAAAAGTAGCCTCTTCGATTCAGACTTCAGTTCAGTCATTAGTGAAATTATAAGATAAGGTTGTTCGATTTGTAAATTAGATTAATCTCTACGGTTCTCAAGATTTGTTGTACTTCTTTATGCTTGTCTGATTTACTAGATTTTGCGGGCGACGTGTTCTTGTTGTTGTAGATTTCATAGTCAGAGTCCAGACCAAACAAAGATTTGGTTCTTGAGATGGTGGTTCTTGTTCCAGTGGGAATATTGGTTGCTTATGTCAACCAAATATAGTGACGGGAACTTAATAACATCAGTTTGCAATGCATTCCGTTTTCATTCTTGCAAAATTCAAGTTGAGATTACCATCATGG